AAACATGTTCACAAGATTAGTGTACTTTACAGAAACTAACTTTCTTTGATATAATATTAACAATATTATAGTAAGACAGATGAGATCAAAATATCTTGATTAATTGTAACTAGCAGGTGAGATAAATAGCTTCAAGTTATGAAGAATCGAGCCAAATGATATAATCACAAATATGTTATTGTAACCCAGTAGGTGACACGATGTCAACGCACCTACTTTAGAAAGCAAACAAAAGTAACTGGAACAACGTAGTCTTAGTTAAGTGTGCTATTAACCGGAGAGTTCTTACTGGAAGATTATCTTTGAACCTGTGTGTGTGTAAGACATTGTTTTAAATGTAAAAAGTATCGTCTTATGCTCTGACAAATACGGTCGATATTTTAGTTTGGGGAGTTATAAGCTTCTGAGACATGTTTTTTTTTCATTTATAATGTTTCTTGGCACAAAGAAAAAATAGTTATTTTGTCTGAACATTTTAATATATTTACTTAACCTTTAAATTTATTTTTAGTATTACGAAAACCTAGATCTGCAGAAATTTTAATAACTTACTTTAAAGATATATATGTATAACGATTCATTTATCAGCATTAGCAAAATTTGTTTCATTAAATTTCAAATTTCTTAAAGAGTAAAATTTAGATTATTTTTCGGGATATAATTTATTTTGAATAAGTTGAAAAATTAATCTAACATGAGCCAGTATTGATTTTACGTTTGTGTATTTTATATTTCGTTTGATAATTACTTTTGTGAACTTTTTGAGTCACGGATAAATCACAATGGGTAGCAATTAGTATAATTAAATTATATCGGAAAGTATTTATTTATTTTTATCTTTATAAATACCTTAATAATTCAATTTTTCCTTGGGTTTTGGTAACATAACATGTAGTTTAAAGCTTAGGACTTAAATGTTCTAAAAACTTGCAGTAGAAATTATCAAAATGTCAATTCTTCTAAACGCTGTCAGTTTAAAACACTTAAACATCTAGCGATTTTGTTTCAGATTGTAAACGGTGCTTATATTATTTTAAAAAAGTTGTTAACATTTGTAGGTTAAAACAGCTTTTAATATGAATTAATCTATAGCTCCTCTAGCTTGCGAATATTAAAGTGATATTCTTGAATTGTGTACAATAGTTTTTTAATTATATTTCTTATATTAGTTAATTATTGCTTTTTTCCATTTAATGTGTATAAAATCACAAAACTTATTCACGGATGTTTATTTAACTTCGTTGTTTTTCATTATATGCTTGTAGTCAAGCGCAAAGCTACACAATGGTCTATCTGTCCTCTGTCCATTACGGGTATCGAAACCCGATTTCTAGTGTTGTAAGTCCGCAGATATACCGCTGTGCTACTGGATGGATCTTTATAGGCATATTGCATTCAGCTTGCAAGCTCAGTTTTACAAACGAATAAAATATTTTAAATTGTGTTAAAGCTACCATTTTTAGAAAAGTGTGAATTTACAAACATGTTACTTTCGCATTTACTATTGTTGACAAGCATCCATTCAGTATCTTAATGTTCACTCTTCACTTTCATTTTTTACAGCTGACAATAAAATGTTGCTCATAAAAAGTCTCAAAAAAAAACTAGAGATAAATATGACATTTTGTTTCAACAGATGTTCTGTATCTTACGCAACATTTCCTTTACTTTGTACCATTTTAATCATATGGAGGCTCAGGCACATCTCTGAAATTAGGCAACATTGCTATTATAAGGCGCAAGAGTCGATATAATATTTGATATAAGATCTAGTTGCAGTTATATCATGAAAAATATAAACTTTATTAAAATTAAATTTCTTTATGTATAGAAATACTACATATTGGACTCCAAAGAGAATAAAGTCCACAAAAGATAGGGTGTGCTGGAAGTTTGTTTGTTTTACTGCTGAGCTCAAAGCTAAACAATGGGTTATCTGTGCTATGGCCACAACGGGTATCGAAACCCGGGTTTTAGCGTTATAAGTCTACAGACTTACCACTGTGCCTTGGGAGGGGTGAGGTGGGACATGAGTGGAAGAATTTATAAATATTGGCGGTAAGAAAGTAAAAGGTATTTTAGAATAATACGATATCTAGAAAGTTGGTTTATCTATAGTGTAAAGTCTATAAATATTGGTTCATTAAAGTCAATGATGTAATTGTCCAAAGGTTTGAGCAAATACATTTGTAGATGGACAGTTATCATTGCCAGTGGATATGTTAACAAATGCAATTGTTGGTACAAGGCGTGATACAATCTTTATATCATTATGGCCGAGTTTACTAGATGTGTTTGTGTACTTGATCTGGGAATAGTAATTATAATAATCATTATTATACTGTCATAAATCTGTTACTCAGATTTGCACTGTTGCACAACACGATCTATTTTTTAGTTCAGATTTGTATGCACCCGTAAATTCACATTTAGTGTAACATCTTTAAACATGAGAGTTTATAATCATATAACTTCTATAAAGTAAATGTAATACATACTAAATTACTGAAAAATATAACATATTTGTAAAGCAATTCAATGTCACTAATGGATATACCTAGGTTTTTCTATTACTGTTTTGTTTTTTTATTTTCTCCAAAATTTTTGGCAAAACAACTTTACATTTTGAAATTACATATTGGCTATTGACCGCCATAAGAAGTAAATGAAGAAAAAAAAACGTTTTCCAAAGAGTCTTAAGAAAATCTCAAAAACTGGAAGATGAAGATGTTTTTTGACCGAGCCAACTTATTTAGAGCCCTTATATGGGGATCAATTTGGTTTGGAATAAGAGTTCTTATGATTGATTTTATATGAACATTGACACGGACATGTAAATTGGCGTTCAAAATATGGTGTGCAAAATATTTTTGCGCAGCCTTTATTAATATATATTTACGGGTATCTTACTAGTTGTTATTTAAATAAAACAAACAACCATAAAATCGCGAGTCACTGACCAAAATTAAATTTCATACTAAGGATAAATAAGAGCTGAGTAATATAATGACACTGTTTGTATGTGTGTTTAATTTAACTGGAACTGAACATTTTGAGAGGTTGAAAAAAATTGGAAGGTATTTTTCATCCTCTGAAGAAATGCTCATAATGATAGGTTAATTGAACTCACATTAATATATACATTTAGCTTCTAGAATAATTGATAATATTTGTAAACTCATTAAAAATGTTTCTAGTGTTCTTAAAGCTCATAGAATAATTATAGTATTTTGACACTTGTGTATAAAGTTAAAATAATAAATAATATTCAACCTTAAACTGGTACACAGTTAAAAACATTTTATTTAGGCCTATCTATGACCTTCAAAAAGTTGACGACTCTACATGTTTCGACGTTACAACGTCATCCTCAGGAGTGAATTACAAGACAATTGCCAAAGTATTTATAGCTGGTTAGTAGGTCATTGACCTTTAATTAGGCCATAGATAGGACTAAATAAAATGTTTTTAACTGTGTACCAGTTTAACGTTGAATATTATTTATGATTTTTTGTCTCATAGCATGTTGTACATTTTCATTACACAACGTTTTAATATTCGTAGAATGATCAGCCTATGTCACATTAGAAATAAACACGTTGAAACTGATTAAATTCTATCTGTTACTATCATTATTATTTTAAGCATAGTGTTTTTAAAAGTTTGTGAAGCTTTGAATAAGGAGAAAACAGTTACTCTGGTGAAACCCACATAAGATATTCGCGAAACTTAGTTGAGCCTATGGATCAGTAATTTAAGTATTTTAATACATATGGCTTAAATCAATTTCTCCTGTCCAATGTGCATTTGCAAATTATTCTAAAACAGCTAAAGCGATACTGTTTGTGTTTTATTTACGAGTAATTCAAATTTTATTGCAACAAAACACAAATCTTTTGGAATTGATTATAAACATTTTACTTAAGAACAATGCTACAAGTTTGGGATCTTTTTTATAAACCATATTCCCCTAGCGACATTTCATCATTAGGACTGTATCAGAAATGTAAAAATCTATGATCTTAAGATCGTTACGTTTTATAGATGATCTATCTGCATATCGTCCGGTTTTAAATAGAACCTACAATTTAGCTTATCTGTGAATTTATGTGATACGACGACTAATTTTCTAATATTTCAATGAGTGACATTTATTTCAAAATATTTGTACATTTTCCTGTAATAAACAAGGCTTAATTTTAACCGTTTATTCAACTGAATAACGTCCATAACATTTTCTCGTTAATGAAGATTGGGTAACGGTATACATAATAATAGCTGGGAAATGCCAACTATACGTTAGGTTACATTAAATTATCGGAATAAAACTGTTCATAGAAGAAATAGCAATTGAATCAAGGGTGATAATGAAATATTCAATTAAAAAGTTTCAGTCTTCTGTGTTGCATATAACATTAATTATATATATGTATTTTGAAACATTCGTTTGTGAATAATTTGAAAAATATGCTGCGTTCACACTTAAAAACAAAATCTGAACAATGATTTGGGCAACAAAGAATTTAATCACTTCATATTTATTTTTGAACTAAACTTTGTAGTTCTGGCAATTTTAATTTATTTGCTTTTATTTTTTAGGTATTTGGTCATATATCATTTCTGAAATGAATTATTTAACCAATAATCTAATAGACGGATTATGGTAAAGACTTATAGGTTTTCTTTGTGGTCTCGGTAAAAATTGAATCTAGCAAAGGTGCAGAAGTTATTTTAATTAGTTTAATCAATGGTTTTTAAAAGAACATGTTATTTTACAACTAGGTTTTCAAGTAAATAAGAAATAATTGAAATATTATATATATTTTACGTGCTACTTTTTCTTTGTTTTTATTGTACCGTCATACACAGTAAGATAATTTGGTTATTTGTTTTATATATTCTGTTTACTATTTACCTTTTTTTTTACGTTTTCATTCGGCTATTCTTGTAGTATTAAACATAAAAAGACTTGTCTAATGGCATCATTCGAATCCCTCTAGGACAGTTTCACGTTGGACCATTAAGCCCAACTAACAAGATCTCAGTTAGCTCTGATTGAGGTAAGATATTCTGTTCACACTTCTCCGGTACTTGTTTTCTCACCCACGGGATTCCTATTGGACATTTCAAATCTAGAAAATCAAAAGGACCCTTTAATTCAGACAGTTTGTTCAAGTAAACAAAACAAATAAATTTGTTTTTGTCCTGCATATTTCACCAAACTAGAGAAAAGGAATCATTAAATAAAACCAAACAAAGAAACATTCAGTTAGTAGTGCAAAATAAATTATCTTCCAGTTCAATACAGTTTAGATAAATTAAAGAAAGGAAAAGTTAACGGCTCAGAAAGGAAAATATAAACGTTATTGCATTTTTTTAAATAATAGATATTAATCATTCGACTTTCTTTATAATTTTTTTCCTGCGAAATAATAATAATTTCTAACGAAAATATAAT